CAAAATGAATCATATTATGATTTTTAAAATAGTTTTTCGCTGTAAAAATCAAATGTTCCCTCTCCCAGACCAAGAACTCACTCCCATATCTGCCCTGAACCCCCCTGGATCTGCGGCATGTGTTTCTTGTACAGCCATAAATGTGACGCAGCAGTGTTTTTTTTTTTTTTAAATCTGAGCTGAGATAAAATGTGATTAATTGTCATTAATTAATGATAGCTCTTGCAATTATCGTTATTAAAATGTTAAATCGAGTCCCACCACTATTTCCATTTGACAAATTCCACATTATTTTTTTATTTTTTAGCTTTTACACCCAATTCTTTTTTTTTTAATTCAGAAATGCTCTTGATAAGTGGATGTGAACTTTTGCCCGCTCCTGCATCCTAAACAGGTTTGACATCTTATTGGCTGACATCATGTTGTTTCTGACATGAATTAGCTTTACAACATGCATGTAATAACAACCACATCTTCCTCACTGTGGCTTCGTGGTCTCCAGTGATGCTTCCATTCCACGGTGTAAAGACGCTCCCACACAGCTTGTCAAGCATCACTTCAGGTCAGCTGCTGCATCACTGCTCTGGGCTGTCTGCAGTATTTATCTGCTAATGTTTTGTTAAGCAAAACCCCACTGGAGATCTGAGTAAACTGACAATGCAACTGATGTTCCACCTGCATTATATGATGGTGAAAATGTCTGGAGCATGTTGTAATATCTCAAAACAAATAAAATATGCATTCGTAGCATTTTTCTTCAGGATTCTCTGTGTTGCCTACAGACTTACTCAAACTTTATACCTTGAGAGTTTTAAACGTGAAAACTTGTGATGTGTCCCAACTTCATATTCTTGGAAAGGTTCTTTTTAAACAGTGTTGATTTTAAATGTCTGCCAGTGAAATTAACATAAACTTTCTGAAAAATGTGGACAACCACAGTTAATGTGTGATCTACTAAAACCAGGCTTGGTGAGATAGTAATCTTGCAATGTCAACTTAAATCATTTCAAAACTACATATTATATTTATGAATTTGTCTTTGACATAAAAAACTATTAAATGATCAAAATAGATAAATGTTAAAAGAAAGCAAAAACAGGAGATATCTGTACAGGTGGGAACATTTTTCTCAGCATAGTACCTTTAATTTGGAGTAAGAAAGGAAGTATTTTGATGTAGTTTGGCCCTTGAGTTAGACAAGTGGTCTAAAGTCTACAAAACTTTTATTCTTCTCACTTTTTCAGCATTTGTAATAGTGCTTATATATCAACTGATCTGGCAGGAATCTGACTGAGGATCCATTAAATAAGTGAAGGGAATTAGCATGTAGCACTGTAAATTAGTGCTAGAATGTTAAACTGAAGTTACACAGAAAATAAATGAATAACCAGCAACAGATTGACCAGGATGTTGACACAGACTCTGCAGAGTTGCATTCATTCACTGCAACTCTGCAGATGTTGCAGTGAATGAATGTGAATGTTCTGACCTGACGTTTGTCAACATCATTTACATACAGGGCCTATTTAAAGTTCCTGGCAGCAGAGTGATGTATGGTGCAGCCTCACAGCGAGATGGTTTCAATTCTCACCTGATTCCTTTCAGTTTGCATTTTACTTTCCTCCCACCGTCCAAAAACAAATGAAATATTAATTGGTCAGTCAAAAGGTTCTAATCGTTGCTCTGCAAACCACAAGGAGTTTAAGTTTTTTCCACCCTGAGACAAGAATAAGTCCTGTTTGAGTTCAACTCTCAAGCTGGTCATTTAATCTAACATGCTAATTAATTACAATCACTCATTGCAACAGAGCAGACCTTCTTTTTCAACGTTGCATAAGCGACGTCAGATTATTAAAATAATGAGCAGAATTATTCATTTAACTGTAATGAACTAGTTGGTTTTATTAGATGTGGTTGTTGCTGTGATTTTCCAGTTTGGATTTATTGACTGTTTTCATGTTCAGGTGCAAAACTAATACTGCATAATGGTAACTCTAACTTGAATTTTAGCACTACAAGGTTAATCTTCTGAGTTTAAAACCCATCTGCAGTCATTTTGGGGGTTTGCATCTGAGTCACTCCTTTCCAGAGTCCAATGATTCAATTTAGATGCAAATCTCTGTTTTTGTGACAACATGAAGCTTTAGTAAAAATGTAAAAGCCAGACAGACCCATATATCCTTTTTTAAATATTTCCTCAGCTCTCTGCCTGTCGATTTCTTGCAGCTCGTTTGTTTTTCCCTCCCAGAGGTTTCATGAGACTCTGGTTACGCTTCAGGATAAAGATGTCAACCACAATGTTAAACATGGGATGGATTTAACTTTATTGGAAAGTAAAAAGCACAAGGTCACTAAGGTCACTGGTACTGATACTACTAATACCTTTTTTCCAAGCTGTTGCAGTTTGCCAAGGAAAAAGTGAGGATGGAATCAGGGTTTGGTTTATCAGTGCTGAGTTTCCTCAAGCTTTGTTTCCTGGAAGTTGCAGAAATTTAAAATAAGTCAAAGTGATTAATATATTATTGACACAATGTTATGGCTCCCAACATTACATATAGTCGACCAAATATCACACAGTAAACATTTCAAACCAATAATAATTCAGCTGTCTGCTCTCATCCAGACCAGTTTATTTATCATTGGACCAGTCTGATCTCTATAATATAATATCACTACACTGCATCAAGGGCTGAAAGTTATGACATGATACAGCAATTATAGCATCATTTATAGCACCTGGAGTTAAAAATGAATTGAAGAAGTTTACATTATTTAAAAATAAAAGCATTGTTGGGATTATTACTCGTGTTGTTTGAAATAATTAGTTTTCCTTCTTGTTTCCATATAGGCATCAATAAACACCAGTATATGAACATATAATCAAAGTTATTGTGTGCTAAAAATAAGGTTGTCCAAAGTGTGTCACCTGTGGCCCTAGAAGTGACTTTGTGCCCCCGACCACAAAAAAAAAAAAATATGAGCAGCACACACACAAGCTTGATTATAGTTACACATGGGAGAAGGCAGAGAAGCTTTATTTTTATTTTATTTTTTTCAGATTATCTGTTTTACACCAAACTGTCACTACATAATAAGACATTCAACAAATATGTAAAAAATATTTTATTTAAATAAAAGTTACATTCTGCCTCATTAGGAAAACATCATTTATAAATACCTATAAATAGATGTGATAATCGCTGCACGAATCCATTAGAGCTTGTTTTTATCTTGAACTCAGCCACCGATCATTCTGAAAACGTAATTACTATCTGATGAACAGCTGGAAATCTCTGCCGTGTTACATTAACTGCTGCTAATTGCATCAATAAAGTCTGGAACTGCATCATTTTTCCTGCTGCAGCGTCCTCCCTGCTTCCTCAACCTCCCTCCCTTCCTGGTTGAGCTGAACCTCAGGTTTCCCTCTCTGTCTTCATGTGCCTGCTCTGTCCCGCACTGACATGTCACACTTTGCCAGCACTCCTTTTGTCCTGGAGTGAACAGTAGGTCTCAAAAGTTTTTACCCTTCTTAGAAGGACGTCTTATCTCCTCCCTCAAATAATCACTCTAGCGGGAAAATGACTTTTTGAGGCAGGGAGGGGTGATAGAGGATGTATTTGTATCGGGTGTAGTGTGTGTGTGTGTGTGTATGCTGCAGTTATTCTGCTGACTGCAGGACGTCCACTTGGCAGGAGTGGGCAGTGCATCAGCAGTTTGCAACTGAATGAATGAAGATAAGGAAAATAGAAGCTAAAAGATCAATGTAATTGATTACTATTGCACACACAGCTGCACTTCAGCACAAGATGAAAAAGACAGTCGCTTCATATATACACACACACTTCATAGTTCGTGTCATTTATTGTTCATGTACCATACTTTGTCTGCGATAAACTTTTAAAAACACATATACAGCATTTAAAATCTCAAATAATAGCCAAAGACTCTTATACCTGCCTATTTTAGTAGTTCAAACAATAAATATATCTTTGTTGTTTGAACTACTAAATTACAACTCTTTGGGCTCCAGCCAATCAGTGACAAGGTAAATGAATGCTGCTTCTGGATTGGCTGTCAATGTCAATTAGTATTGTGCTTCGATATCTCAGATCCCCAAACTGCCTTTTCTTTCAAATATTTTCAATACGCTCTATGAAAATAACTGCAAATAGATACATTTCCAGAGATCCTTTACAGTTACCTTGGCAAAATCTCCACTGAAAAAACATTGAATACTGAACTGTAAATAGATGAGGGGTCAGCTGCACTAATTAGGTGACTTCATTAGTTCTTAGTAACCGCAAATGGTTCTGGTGAATTTTATCCTGGCACGGCAGAATAAAAGAGGATTTAGCTCAAATATACCAATTGCCAGTCATGTCATTGTCATTATTTTATTTTATTTTTTTTGTAAATTTCACAATTTAGGATTTTTTTGGCTGTCATTCTTCAGGTGTGATCTGTGCAGAATGTGAGGGTTATCCTGCATGTGCTCACTAGTCAGGGTTGAGATTGAGAGCAGCTGACTGAGGCAGTCACTCTGCGCTGTGGCAGTCTGCCTGCAATCTGGAGCTGCTGGTGATTAGGACATGCTGCCTCCTCACTCTGCCAGTGTTTCTCACACAGTAGGTACGCTGTCCTTCCTTTACAGTGCATTGTGCTTTTTGTGCTCCTCTGTCCTGATGGGATTCTTGTCTGAAGTTCAGTTTCTGCATCTCAGATTTTTTGATATTTTTTTTTGTTATTCTGCTGAGTCAACTTTGCAGTGAGACTCTGAGACTTTGTGTTTGGCTGTGGAAGTGCTCAAGGCGAGCCGGCAGCGCGCCGCTCTGCTGCCCTGTAGCTGCTGGAGATGCTGCAGGGGAGAGCAATGCAGATAGAGATGCTGTTCTCCAAAGCTGCATGCTTTAACATTAGCTTTCTTTTTATCCTGCAATAATGACACGCTTCTACAGGACAAGTTTGCGAAGCATTAACCCAACGTGTGTGTGTTTGTGCAGTGATCGGACCTGGAGTGCAGTGAGTGAAGATGATTCCTGTGCTGATCTGTGCTTTGGTCTCCCTGAGTGTTGCGGAAACCAATTTAGACGTTCTGTACCCCGAGCTGGAGCACTCCAGAACCATCTATGTCACAGGTAAGTTTTGTTTCCCTGATGTTCGCTCATAGTGTCGTGCTGAGCTCTGCTCTATCAGATGAGATGCAGAGTTGTTTTAGTGTTCTTTGCTGTGTTTCGTTCATGACACTCTCTCTGCAGAATACTCGACTTATCAGTGCGGCTCAGAGACAAGGCTGCAGTCAAACACAGATATTGTTCTAGAGTTTGGGTACTGACAGATGAAAACTTTCTAAATGGCAAAATTCCAAAAGCTGTTTGCAGAGTTCTGATATCAAAACTCTGTGTATGTTTGTGGTATGTTTATTTGTTTTCCCACCTGACAGTCCAGTAGACTCGGTTCGATCAGGGACCAAAATTACAATATTTGTTCCATTTTCAGCTGCTGTAGTTCTCTTTCACACTGCACTGTCAAACCCACCAAACCTTTTAAAAAACTTGTTCCTCTCCTGGCCTGTGGGTGGCGCTGCACAAAAAGCCACTAAAAGAAACTACATGAAAACCTCAGAAGAAGGTTTCATGTAAAGCAGTGCTTCTCAAATAGTGGGGCGGGCCCCCTTTGGGGGGCGCGGTGCGATACCTGGGGGGGCGCGTGTGATCCTGGGGAACAGGCTTTTTTTTTGGCCGTACTAGTAGAAAGTGTAATTGCGCACAGTAGGCGGCAGTGGCGCTCTCATTGTTACTTCTGTCACGTTTGCGACAGTGCAACATTTTACGACTTACAAAGACAACAGGTTTGCCTTGGTTAGCAGTGTTAAGTCAACAAAAAGCTCCGACTGCGTTCTGTCTATGGCTTCTGTTATTCAACAACCCCCAACATGAAAAAGTTTTTAACAGGGATGAAAAGAAAAGCGGAGAGAGACAAAGATAATGAGACAACAGAAAGTCAACCGAAAGCTAAGAAGAGGAAATACGACGAATCTTATTTAGCGCTTGGCTTCACTGTGACTACAGTTGGAGAAGAGGAAAGACCGCTGTGTTTGCTGTGTCTAAAAATGCTCGCAGCGGACAGCATGAAGCCAAATAAATTAGCGCGTCACTTAAATACGTTACATCCCAATCACGCCGATAAGCCGCTAGAGTTTTTTCAGCGAAAACGTGCTGAATATTGCCAACAGTCATCCCGCTTTGTGAAGGCTACTTCAGTAAACCATCGAGCGCTGCTAGCATCATATAAGGTGGCGTACCAAATTGCGCAGTGCAAAAAGCCCCACACCATAGCAGAGGAGCTGATATTGCCTGCAGCAGTAGACATGGATTTATTTATTTTTAATTTCAGGCATTGATGCACTTAAAATCTTTTCTGTTGCAGACTTAAAACACGATTTAATAAAGTTATTCTTTGTAAGTTTGACCATATGTCTTTCTTTTTTTCTTTAATGTTAATGAAAAAATGTTATGCAGAGATGGATAGTCACGGTGGGGAGTGGGGGCGCGAATAGTTTTCTTCTTGCTAGGGGGGGCGTAACGGAAAATAATTGAGAAGCACTGATGTAAAGGCATCAGAATTTAGAGGTTGTAGGATTTCTTTTTTGTTTTTGATAAAAGACACAAGACTTGCACATTTATTTCAGTTGCATTTACCCAGAATGCCCTGCGTTTATAGTTCTCTTCCTCCTTTTGGAGCAGTATCCGGTCCAGTTGGCGTTCATATACACATTCAAACCAAACCAGAGTTCACTTCTACCAAACTGAACCCTAAGTTTGGACCAGAGTTTGCTGTTTTGGTCCTCATCAGACTGAATGCACCCTAAGTCTTCATTGGGTTCTAAAATTCTCATATTAAAATGCAAATGTTCCACATTTTCTAATAACAAAGAAGTCAAATTGTAAAATCTATCTGAAAAGCATATTCATGATGATAAATATGCTGATGTACCATCTTTAGAAACATCCACTTGGCACAGTTGCTCTCTGAATAACTCAACTTGTCTCCACTATGGATACATTTTGACCGACGTCTTTATACTATATCAGTTCAAAGTTTGCATAACCCAGTTTGGAGCGGCACACTGCCTCACACTTCAACCTATAATACTTTGGTATACAAAGCTGATGTTGACTCAGTGATTGCAGGGTGGCTGGGTTCTTGTAGCTGCAAAATGAGGCTTCGTCATCAGCTGTTCATCAAGGTTTCACCAAACATGGACATTGTTCCAGTCTTCTGCTTAATTTAGGAGTATTTTTGCACACTGAGGTCATGCTGTCATTTTCTTCCCGGAGAAAAAAATGCTTTCTTTGGATACACATTTCTAATTGGAACATCATAAGCTTCGACATCCCAGTTTGGGCCTATAGCAGCTGAGATTACGTTTCTATTGAAGTAGTTTCTACAATTTCTCAGCAATGAAATGTCAGAGTGATTTCTAAAAGATTGACTGCTGTCTTAAATGTTTACGACTTCTCAATTTTATTTTTGTCTTTAGAATAATAGACTTTAGTTTGCTCAAAAATGGTCCATACAAACTTCATCAGATTAATGGAGAATTTAGCATGCATTCACACCAGCCCTGTTAAGTTCGCTTTAATCCAACTCCAGTCTGTTTGCCTACAACAGAGTCCAGTTTGTTTGGGAAGTTGTGAATGCATAGTCGAGTTGTGGTCCACCTTCAAACCCCAGCAACTGAAGTGACTCTGGTGTGGTATGAATGCCAAGCAAACCAGATACCTTGCTAAAAGCAGGAAGTGGACTGTCGCACAGGGCATTCTGAGTAAATACCACCGAATCAAGTGCTCAAAATTAGTGCCAGAAAGTAGCAATGGATCAGAGTCTTTTACCAACGACAAAAGAGAAATTCTACAACCGATATAATCTGACACCACTCCATTTTTGTTTACGTTTTGTGAAGAGGAAAGTTTTGCTTCTGAGCTTTTGGTGTTGTTTCCTTCAGTGGTTGTTGGTGCAGCGCCACCACGGGCAGGGTGGAGGGGGGGCATGTTTTTAAAAGGGTTTGACACAGTGCAGTGTGAAGGAGAATCAACAGCAGCTGAAAATGTCCTCAATAGTCCCCAATCAAACCAAGTCTACCTGACTATTACCTGAGAAAACATCCTAACTTGTAAGTCACCTCTGATGTTTGTCCTTTAAGTGGTAAAACAAGGTTATGGAAATGTCACAATATGTGGCGTGTTTCCACCCAGGCTACGAGGCGCAGACTGTTAGCAAGGAGTGTCATGATGAGGCACAGGATCTCACTCTTGCAGTTCCTCAGCACAAGGCATGGAATCAATGTGCCATTTTCTGTTTGGCTAATCTCATTCATGCTTAGGCAGCAACTGGAATGAAACATTTTGAAAGTAAGCTCAGTGAAGGAGGGGAGACTTCACAGGCAAACCCAAACTAGGGCCATCAGTTTGCTCAGAATATTCCCGGATCATTCTGAAGCTGAAGATTTGTCAGAAGGTTTATGGATAGGCCAGATGAAAGGAGATCAGGAGGTGGAGCTTATCTAAAACTGCCTCAGTTAGCTTTAAAGTCACCTCTGACTGACATCCTTTGTAAACATTGTAGTCCAACAGAGAACAATATAAATCTGACCTTTATTTACAGAAATAAATAAAGCAGTGAAGGTCAGGTCTGTGTTATTGAGGTTCATTGAGCTATCTATCAGAGAAACTCAACGAAGCATTAAAATACAGCAACAGTTGTGGCTGTTGCCTCTTTCAGTGTCTCTTCGTGTTACTTTGAAATTTGTTTAAAGAAATTCTAACAAATGTATTTGGGTAGGTCAAAGGGATTTTAGGTATTTAAATTTATTTATTTGTGTTTTTGGAAAAACAGATTTTCGGATTGCAACTCGACTTCTTATTTTATTTGTTTATGCACGGAGAGTACATCAGATTGTTGTCGCCTGTAGGAGTCAAACTGTCCTTAGAGATTCTTCAGCATTGCTGTTGACTTGTTATCTGAAATCTCTCTAATTCATTTGGAAGAAACTGATGATGTCTCTAATGTGCTTTTTATCTCATGATATTGATGAGTCCCTCCAGCTTGCCTTGGTGAATGGATAGCACTGTGGGATTTCCTCTGGCCTTTCTCCTGACTGATACTTTTGTACAATTAGATAATTTTTTTATGAAAAATAACAACAACAACAAATGGACTTCTGCAAACATTACTTCTGTTGTCCTGTTTGGTCTTAAATATCAAAAAGACCAATTATTGATATTACTCATTGTAATTACAATAAATCTCTGTTTTGCAGAAAATGGGCCCAAATTCAATGTGATGGCTGAACAAGCCAAGGTCGTAACGAGGCGAGGGGGAAATGTAACACTACCATGCCTGATCCAGAGAGAGCAACAACTGCCACCCAGTCGCAAGATGAGGATCAAGTGGACCAAACTGACGTCAGACTATCTGAAAGAGGTAACAACTGATCTGAGTTAGATGAAAAAGATTTCTATTTTCTCAGTTATAATGACTAAGGCAGAGACTGAGCGGAAGAGACTGAGCAGCTAAAGAACTTTTCTCTGCCTACATCTCCCAGAATGCTGTGCAGTTCTGGATCAGTTCAGGAAAAGTATTGAACATTGTATCCGACATATTACCTATTGATAAGGTGTCTATCTTGATATGTATTGTTCAAATTGATTTATTGTTTAAATATAATAATGACATTAAAATAATTAAATCCTTCAGTGGAATTACAATACAAATAGGAAATAATTGCTTTGGGTATTCCGTTCAATTTTGAAAGTTTTTTATAAGTATGTGGAAAATACAACCTTCGTTCTTTGACTGTGCTCTAGGTGGACGTGTTTGTCACCATGGGTTACCACAAAAGGAGTTACGGGACTTTCCAAGGACGTGTCCAATTGCAAGGCACCTCCCCGATGGACGCCTCCCTGGTGATGACAGATGTCACTTTGGACGATTATGGGAAATACAAATGTGAAGTGATTGACGGTCTGGAGGATGACACAGTGGTGGTGTCCCTCGAACTCGAAGGTAAAATGATTGGGTGGTCGAGTTTTTTAGAACGGAAAGCAATGAGCTCTTGGAAGGAGGACCCAATGTCAGTGTTGTATTGTATAAATGGGTTCTGTCTAAATTTAGCTCCAGGGTCAAAGACTGCTGGGAGGAATGTCAGCAAATGTGAGCATGGTGTACATTAAGGTCAAAGCATTCTCATTATGTTTGTGAGTAGCTGGGAACACCTGCCATTAGAGCCTGAAGCTAAAAACGCCGGCAGTAGCTGTGCTTCATCTCCTGTCATTCATCAGGCTCAATAAAAACTGAAAAAATTCTAGTTTTGATTCCCATGTACAACAGAATTATTGCATCAAGGCTTTCCTGTTGTTGGCCTCTCCCTGCAGGTGTTGTGTTCCCCTACTTCCCCCGCCTGGGCCGCTACAACCTGAATTTTTATGATGCCGAGCGGGCATGTCGAGACCAGGATGCCGTGGTGGCATCCTTCGACCAGCTGTACGAGGCGTGGCGCGGCGGGATGGACTGGTGCAACGCCGGCTGGCTGAGCGACGGCTCTGTGCAGTACCCTATCACCACCCCCAGGGAACCCTGCGGAGGGAGGAACACGGTGCCGGGCATTCGCAACTATGGCCTGAGAGACAAGGACAAGAGTCACTACGATGTGTTCTGCTTCACTTCCTTCCACAAAGGTGAGGGGTCAGACTTTGGGGGTTTCTCCTCATGACACCTGAATTCACCTTAGGGTTCAACATCTCATAGAGAAATGTTTAAAGCTGCAGTATGCAACTTTCATAAAAAATGTTTGTTTTTATATATATGTTTTAAAACTGTCATTGTCAACCGTGATACGAGAGAGGGAATCTGATCAATCTCCTCCCTGAGCTGTTCTGGTTCTCTTTATGTTTTTGCCCTCCAGGTAAATTCTACTACCTGATCCAGTCGTCCAAGCTCACCTATGACGAGGCTGTGAGGGCTTGTCAAAAAGATGGAGCTCAGATCGCCAAGGTTGGCCAAATGTTCGCTGCCTGGAAGCTGAACAAGTACGACCGCTGTGACGCCGGCTGGTTAGCGGACGCGAGCGTCCGTTACCCCATCTACCATCCAAGGCGCCGCTGCAGTCCCACAGAGGCCGCCGTGAGGTTCAATGGCTTCCCCGACAAGAAGCACAAGCTGTACGGAGTGTACTGCTACAAGGAAAACAACTAATCCTGTGAAGGCCGTCCTGCAAACACCTACACACAGTTCACAAGCATGCACAAACATAAACATCAAAGAACACTCTCAATGGGTTGAAATGCATAGAAAAAAGAATTGTAATGATGAGAGATGCTTTCACTCATGGGAGATTTACAATGTTGCATCATCATTCAGGACCTTAAAATATATTTTCCATATATATTAGATATTATTTAATCAATAATAATCGGTTGGGTGGGCTGACGTGTGTGGGTGAGACTTGGAAATGTAAAATCTGATGCAAAAATGTCATACAAGAAAAAAAAACATGCTAACAAAACTAACAACAGCTGAGTGTGTCACAGTTGGACCAAACGTTGGGCACTTATCCTGTTTTCGGTCCCAACATGAAGAGCAGATGAAAGCTCAGCCTCTGTGAAGCTCGTTAGGCAGGACTCGTTAGCTAACCTGTTCCCTACTGCCCCTCCCCTCTCAACAAGGTGCTATAGCTGCATCCTACCGTCCGCTTTTTTTTATTTTATTTTGTCATGTTTTTTCTACAAATGCATTGGACCAAACTTGGACCAACAGCAAAGACAAAAACAAACAGGAACATTTAGCTGTTAGCAACGTGTTTTCTAAGTATGTGGAATGTGATAAACTTAGAAATGTATTTGTGTTGATATTTTTTATACACTGTAGAAATGTTTGTTGTTGTCTCTCTGGCCAATGTCTTCTTGGTTTACATAAAACATATTGCAGTATTAGCAGGCTGGGCTGGGGGGGTGTTTGCACTGATCACACGACATTCAGGATAGTGGACGACATAAACAGCAATTATTCTCCCAAAATGCTTTGCCTGAGTAGAAGCAGCGTTGCTGGGGTCGCTGGGGTCGCTGTCACTTCTAGAGCGATGCAGGGACTGTAGGCCGTCGCAGTGTTTGGCTTCAGAGCATGGCTCAGCTATAAGAAGCACAGAGCTAAGCAGCTTCCAGAAGATTTACTCTCAACTTCGTGTCAATGCTTTGATAAAGTGCTATTTTTGATACAGTTAGTGGGTTTAAGTTGAAAGAGCAGAACAGGCCTTGTTGATGCTTGTCATTATATTCTTTTGGACTCAATACTTTTAGCACGACCTGTCCTAAAAGTTAAAAACGACTCTTTTATGTCTTCATCAGATGTTTGTTTCTGTAGTTGTAGACTGGATGAAATGGCGTTCGCTGTATTTTACGACTTAATTCGAAGGATTTTCCTTTTTTAATGCTCCATGAAGTGGGGATCTTTGAGTTAGTTGCTACAGTGGTTTAAAATAGTAAAGGAAACATTTTAAGATTTTTAAGTTTAGTACATTTCCAGGATAATCAAAGAAAAAAAACATTCAGAACATGCATTAAAAAAGTATTATGAATTGTTTTGGAGTTTTTGCTTTTTGTCACACCTAGCATGATTTAGATTATTAAATAAATTTGAATTTTAGATAAAGACAAACTAAGTACAAAATTCAAGTATGAAATGTATTTATTAAGGGATTAAAAACTTTCCAAATCAACTAATAATATCTGATTAATTAACTGCTAAAACATATTTTTTGAACATGCACATCCAGACTTTCTGCCAGATGCACCTGCTGTCATGTGAACAAATACTCTTGTTTGTACACGGGCCTGATTGACAACACTAAGACACTCCCCTTGGCTCTGATTGATTGTTTTTAAGATTGTTCAGATATCAACAGTAGTACTGGGAAGAAGCAGAGGAGCTCCATCTCTTCACAGTCTCATATTTCACTCCCACCACAAAAGTTACATGATGTAGCTTGAAGAGAATGAAAACATAAAAAAAGAACCAAAGACCAATCGGCATAATTATTCAGTAATTGGGATTCTGAGGGCTAAACTGGGTAGTTTGGTGAATTTGTAAAGTTCTGGTGTGAGTTAGGCTGGCAGCAAAGCAGGAAGAACAAAAACCTGAAGGATCTGACAGGGAGGTGTGTATGCTGGACAGGTGGCTGCTTAGCAGCAAGCAATAGCTGGAGTGGAGGCAAGGATCTGGAGAGAGCTGAGACAGAAATGACTGATAAACACAAAGCAGAACCAGACTCAGCAGAGAGATGAACACAATGCAAAAATGCACAGAAACAAAAACAGAAACCCTGAAACTCCAAACCAGATCAAACCAAAAATCCCAAGACAGCTGCTGTGTGTTTTTTCAGGACTTTTTGGCTTCATTTATATCACTTTTAGGTTTAAGTTACTTTCAAGGTATGTTTGTCATGTTATTCAAGGTTCAAACAGCAAAAATACATGAACCTCTCTAAACCTGCTTCAACCTTCATTTGAAGCAGAAATAGACTGACATCTTTTCAGCTGTTTTTTTTTTGTTGTCTTTTTTTGGTGCTCATAACAAAGGGAAATAATGTCTTTCCTTTTCCATCAACGGATAAATTCGGATTTCCACTGTAATCAACAGTTTAGAGTTCATAAAATCTAAATCTGTGCTGAAAGTGTGCAGCCCACTCCCTGGGTGGCAGGTGACAATAAAAACAGCCGGATGAAATTTGAAGAGGAAACGCTCGGTGACAAAATGTTGAAGGCACATCGTCAGCTGAGGTCACTCTGGATGACCTCAGGCCTGTGTGTGTGAGCAGGGCAGATGTGCTGGCATTAAGTGGCTTCAGACATGCTGTCTCAGCTCTCAAAGACCCTGTTGGACGTGTCTCTCAGTCTCCCAGCATGCTGAGCAAACCACAGCCAACAGTCATTTCTGTGTGAAAGCAGGAAGGGATTCTTCCATATATGGGCATTATGCGTTCACAGGCACAGAGTTAGGTTTAGGTTACCAAGCTGAAGGCTGGCCTGTTGCTACTGTTTCTGGCTGAATCCCTGACAAATTACTGAACGTTATTTCATTGAGTTTCATGTTTTATTTCTTTCACCCCGTCATAAATATGAATAGCTCATGTACCGACTAAAATAAATCATGAGTGAAGTGAGGCAGAAAGGAATAAAAGCTCATAATGTCTGCACCATATTCACATGAAAATGAAGTGAGATATTTAGATTGTTATAAACTTCTAAATGCACAAAAAATAAACCAAGAATCCACCAAACATTGGCTTATTTGGCGTCAAATCACTTCGTCCTGATTATTTCCTAATTTCTCATTTGTACATAATTTTAAAAGCATTTGACTGAACTCAGAAAATTTCAATATGTTTAAGTGTATAAATATTGCATTGTGGGATCTCCACTCCCTCTCTTCTGTAAAAAGAAAATCAAATCTACATATGTTTTACATTTACTACTCCACACTTCCACACAGTATGTCAGATATGGAACAAAATGTGACTTCTACATATTTACCATGTGAAATATTTATCATTTGAAATATTGTTAAAATAGTTTAGAATAGTTTACTTTTACATGATTACACAGCTGGTGTGTCTTATGACAGCCCAATGTCAGCTCTGATTCATATCTCTGCTCTTTGATGGAGCATTAGGACCATGCTTAGAAAATAAAACTATGAGAATAAAGCCATAGTATTATGAGAATAAATAGCCATAGCATTGTTCTCATAATATTGTGAGAATAAAGTCGAAATAATACGAGAATAAAGTCAGCATATTTTGACAATAAAATCATACAATTACAATTCTCTGATTCTCTTATTTTTATTATACATTTATTTTCTGATAAGGCCCCTAATACTCAGTTGTACAGCCCAACCACAGCGCCTGCAAAGTCAAACCTGTCATTTGTGCTCCTGGAGCCAGGATGCTCTGACCTCCCCAGGATGTTAATGACTATCCATGGCAACAGTGACGGTGATGCCCTGAGTGAGACTGAGGCTCCAGAACAGTCGACAGACCTCATGTTGAAGAAACACAATGATGAGAGATCTACTGTTTCCCAATGTGAAAAATGTATCTCAGGAACAACATTGATCCGGAAACAGCATTGATATTCTGGGTATTTCTTCACTTTGTTCTCTTCTTCTTCTCTTCCTCTTCCTCCATGATGCGCTCAGCGTAATGAAAACCGCAGCTCTCTGAAAGGAACGCAGTTATTGAGCTGAACTATGACATGAACAGGGACACGTTTGTTCATGAGGTCCAAGCATCAGATGTAGAGAGGTTTATCAAAATCTTGACTCACGTTGGTTAATTGTTGGTAATGTTGACCTGTGTGGTGACCTTTATTCACTGTCTGGACTGACTGTTGGTCACTCAGACAATGGTCTGATAAGAGCTTGTGAAGGCCTCACACGGTTGGGGTGAAAGTTGAAGGGTTGATGCAGAGGCACGTGGTTTCGGAACATTCGTTTTCTCACACACTTTTGTTTCTGGGTGAAAAAACTGGAAGTTGAGTATTTGGGGCTGTTGTACACATGAACAAACACACACACATCATTCTGGGCAAACACACTGTATTTTCAAGTGGAGAGAGGGGGCATAAAGTTCACTAGAGGGGCAAGAAAGGGAGGACAACAGGAGGATGAGAACAAAGTGACGCAATTTTTATGACACGACTGCGATGATAACGACTGATATGGGTGGATTGACCCGACAATGCAGAGCCCTTATTAAGACCTGATGCTGTACAGATGTTACGTTTTGCTCCTCTCCTGACTAGAAGCACGCTGCTTTAGCTTCACATCATATTTCTGTGCTTCACTATGTTTATCAGTCACAGTATTTTTTGGGGATTTTCTTTGTTCATTTGGAAACCTGTAAGATCTTGAAATAAAAAGTCGACTAAACGCATCATATTCCATGACACCTTCTGCATGTTCCCACTATCACCACGTCAGAGAACAACTAATGAGGCAGGCTTTACAGCAAATAGGAAAGAAAAACGATGTTGGCCAGAGGGAGGCTGTTTGACTCCACACAGGCCGTCTGCAGACGGACAGTTCCTGAGTGATGCAGTAATGCAGCACGTGTGTTTCCACAGGGAGGGGCTACACTTCCGAACACAGAGCCAATTCACAGAGCTCCCGACAGTCGGCTCTGTAACCGTAGTTCAAGCTTCCTGCCAAAGTAAAGGTTGCTTTTAGGAAGCGAATGAGAGCAGCTTCGGTGACGTCTTGGTTTTCATGTTGACGCACATGAAAACACATGAATCCAGTCTCATTCTGGATTCATGAAGGCTGTTTGTGTAAAACATGAGAAGTCAGCTGCCAGGACTCAGGTTATCTGCTACATTTCTGCCACATTTCCTCACAACAAAGGCATCTACCGTGATTATCCCATACAATGAGTTTTTCTGCTTCATGCACTGTATGTGTGGAAGAAAAACAGCTGAAAATAGCAAACAATACCAGCTTTCTTCACTTCAGGTGCAGCAAAGATTGAAAAAGAAAAAAGACGTCACAGTTCTCAGCTGTTCACTATGATTCATATGTTCCCACAGCGGCTCCTCTGTAACTGAGTTTTGCTGTTTGAGGGAATCACTGATGATAAACCGTTAATCTGACAGGAGTCTCTCAATCTGAAAACCTCAGTTTGATAAAATGACAATGGAAAATATACAGATTACACCAACATGAAAATCCACTTATATCATGTTCTTATTGATTTCTCTTTTATGCATTGGATTAATATATTGTGCCATCTGTGAATCTCTTCTTGTTTTGTTCGCTTTTATTTTTTTCCTTCATTTTTTGGCATTGTAATTTTGTATCACACAATAAAATAAAACTTAAACACAGATTGTTGCAACTTAACTTCTTTCGTTTTTTTTGTTTGAGCTTTTCTTAATATAAAATAAGGTTTAAATAATCTAACAGAGTGATCAGGAAGATAACATGTAGATGTTTTAGTTATGACTGTCTTTAGGTTATGAAATCTGCCTCCCCAAAAAACAGTTCATCATCATCAGTTAAAACCAAAATGATTAAAATTGCTGAAAGATTTAGAGCTGTTTCTAACCAGTTGCAGTAATATTATGCTGCAGTTGCCCAGTTAGAGTCCTGACTTCTGGAATAAAGGGCTTCTAACTCAGAGCTGAAATTCATTTCCAGAGAAAAATCATCAAAATATCAGAGGAAACCTGTAAAAAGCTGGTCAGGAATTATTAGAACATGTTGATTAATGTAATGCATACAAGTGATTTCACTGATTATTGAGAAGAGTGATGATACTTGCAGACATGTCATTTATTTCTAAAATGAAAACAAAACCAGATTTTGTTTTCAAACAGTTCCTGTGTACAGACATTGTACTCCTGTTCATTGTGTTATTTTCATTTTGTGAGATCTCAGTCTGATTTCCTATAGATATAAACTTATTGATTATACAAAATAACTTTCTAATTTAGCCTGGCGGAATGAATGACTCCAAGCTCTACAAAATCCAAAATATAGACACAATATAGGTACTGGTGAATAGGAGAGTAAACAGTGCTTCATCGTGTTTGATGTTTTACAATTTCAGTTAAAAAAAAAAAGAATTTCTCAAGATTTTCAATTATTGATTCATTTTCAATTTGGCAGAAACAGATAGTGCGCTGTGTGTGTGGTCACTACTCAGTCAGGACGCATGGAGGTTTCAGAACATAACATGAAGTCTAAAACATCTGTGGGACGTACTCATCTCTGAGTTTCTAAAGTGAATTTAAACCAAACGTCTACAAATGCACAGACTCAGGATCAGCTTGTTGTTCCACACAGTTTGTAGTGACTTCCAATAGTAACAGCTACAAGAAAAATGAGACTATAACCATAATATCGCTCTGATTTCACTGCTTTTTCACCCTCAAACAGCACTCATGCTTTTTGGAATAAACATTCGAAATGCTTTATGTGGTCTAATTTTATGACTTCCTTATTCATCTGATTCTGCATCAGCAGGTCTGCAGACTGTAGAGCAAGAGTAAGAAATCCCACCAGAACCTTTTTTCATAAAGTTATAAAAGTTTATTACAACATTTCAACTTCAAACACAAATACTATAAAACACCAATAATGAGATGTCGCGCAGTTAAAATGGATGGAACAATGATTACATAAAGATAAGCCTTTTGCACCACAGATATAGCAAGTACAGTAATGACATAATGGAGAAAAATATTTCAAAAGGAGCATGAAAAGGTTTATATCTGTCTGTTACTTCAGAACACAGATCCCAGCTGTGCAGCATGTGGATGAAAAAAAACCTCATGATGGAAGAAACTACAAGAATTTGCACGATCAATTTGTTGCACTGTTTTTGAGTTGCACCACGTCGAAACACATACAGTGTGTATCAAAAGACAAACAAACAAACAAAAAATAACTAGTAATGCACCATAAAAGACTACGTGTCTCAAATTCATATTAATGAGAGGAAAAATCTGTAAACATTAAGAATGATGATAATAAAGGATAAATCACCTCTGGCCCAAAAGCCTTTACTTAATCACAGTCCATTCATAGTAAAACTATGTAATAAGTTATAGTCAGATGGCTTCATAATACATAGCTCTTGAATAACCGGAACAGCACACATTGCAAATTTTGAATATTCCGATTTACCTTTGTCTGCATTAATTTCCCATTTTCACCCCAACAACATAAAAAACTCTAAAGAGAAAACAAATCATAAAAACAACTATGCAATTAGAATACGAAAAGATAAAAAATTTGCTCTATATATTATAATTTTATATTTGAAATGTGATCTACTTTTAATATTTTGGACATGTTTTTGATCTGCATTGGAACTGGCCTGTGAATGTACAGTCTGCATTTGTTTCTGTGCAGGTAAGATAGCAACTACTCACAACCTCTCCGCAAATCTTTCAGATAATCAAAACGCTCCTTCACGATTTAAAGATAAAAAACTGTATAAAAGGATCAAACAGGGTGTTTCTGGCTGATCCAGTACTTGGTGTTTTATGAGTAATTTATCCTATAAGCATTAAATAAGGCACCAGTGCAACAGCTCAGCTAACTGACATGTTGGTTTTGAACACACTCTCTGGTGTGCATCACAGCTCCCTCCATGGTCACACCCAGGCTGCCAAATGCGTGCAGAAAGATTACTTTATGGAACATGCAAACTTTATGTTATTAGTGCACTCCACCTGGTAATTTGTGGTAAATTGCCCCAGCAGCTGCCGGCACCACTGCTTCATAAACTTCTGGAGCTCCAGACAAAGTCAAAACAAGATAGACACATGTTGTTCTTTTCCTGGGCCATAAAACCAGGACTGACAGACCCTCAGTCTGATCACAGTCGCACCTTAATCCTTAAACAGTTAGATCAGTTTATGTCGCATTACTTCATCAAATGATGACAGAACCAATGGCCAAAAAACACATCACATCTCAATCACCAAAAGATAATAAAGCCCTTCCATGTTCAATCATTTGGAATTATATTCCAGTCTAAACTACAGTGTCCAAACAAATGACTAAAGGGGCAGTTCTATGTAAAAATCGACTTTTTTTTTACCTTTCCATTATGTTATAATGTTATTCCCTCATCAAAAACATTCCAGGGGTGTCATTTTGATTCATTATTGCATGATTGAGAATTTAAAAAATCCTTTAATCTTCATTGCAACCATTCAGCTGTGGAAGACGCCTGGGTGGACCTTGCCCCGTCTTTGAGACACAGCTCCTCCTCCGAGCTGCAGTTTCCAAGTTTCCACCTCACAGAGAAGCCCTCCCCGCAACCCTCTGCTCCTTCAGACTAGCCAGCAGAAATTAGCAAACATCTGGTAGAACAGCACATCTGCTGAGCTCATAATAGGGGCTACATCTCAGTGAAACGCAGGTAAAATGTGATCAAAGGATTAACAGAGGAACCATGTTGTGATGACTTCCTGGAGGCGGAGTTTCAGAAAGAGCAGGAGTTTTTTTTTAGACCAAATTTCAAGGCATTAAATCACAAAAGTCAGATTTCGTTTAGGTCTTATTTGATATATTGAGCATTTTTATAAAAACGGAAGGCAACATAGTCACTTGAATGTGCCTGGAAAATACATAATACCACCCTTTAAATGATGATGTACACCAATCTGGCGTAACATTATGACATGCTTGCCTAACAGTGCGTCCGTCGCCCTTTTTCTGACAGAACACCTTCGACCAGAGGAATGTTGGATCCCTCTGCACCACAGAGGTGTCCTGCGATGTCCTGCACACTAGCACTTCTGCACCACCAGAAGTGGAGAACAATCTTTCCATTTGTCCAGCACAACCTGCAGATGCTCAGTTCTATGGAAATTTGGGGAATCTGGAGGCCAAGTCAACAGCATACATTTATTGTTGTGTGACTGAAGCTGTTTTATTGTTGCTGTATGTCAGGGTGCATTGTACCTTGACATACAGCAGGGTACAATGCTGGGTACAATGACTTTGGGTTATTCAACATGCCTGTTGGATTGGACTGAAACACTCCTCATCTGGCCATCACTTTGAATATTAGCGGTTCATATGCTATGCAGTCTGTCTGATACTAGCAATGTAATTTATATTGACCATATTCAAAACTTCATGACAAAAATGGTAGTTTCTTGGTGAGCCTTTACAAAAATTGTGTTTTCTTGCTCTATAAAAGGTAGAACTGGAGAGTCCTCTCATCCACATACAAAACCCTCTGCAAAGTGTTCTCAGCATGAACATTTTCTGAAACTTAAAGCAACAAGAAAGAGTGTCAATGACTCAAGTTTTGCGATGTTGTATAAAAACTAAGACAATCGCTGAGTTAAGAAAAAAATGAATCAGTCCCAAGTGTTACAGTTAATATCCTAGTGTTTTTTTTTTTTTTTTTTTTTTTAAGAAAATACATGTTGGCACATCTCACATGTTGTTCTTGTGAGAGCCATCAATAGACAGGCGATCTAACAACACTGCTTCTGTCTATCAATGCCTGCGGACCAACAAGGCCAGTCTGCATTGATGTGTTGCCGTCACGGCTCTTGAGCAAAACCTCAAACTCATTCAGTGGCCGTCCTGATCCCTGTGGTGAACGTGCTTCTTCTGCCGGAACAGCTGCTGAACTCGGGTCTGGATGGGGCTCCAGAGGCTCTGCAGGATCCCGTAGTTCTGCTCCTGCTCCTGGGTCTGATCAGCCTTCTCTTGGCCGTTGGTGTTATGGACGTGGTTCCTCTTTTGCTCCTCCCTCTGGTTGCCGTAGTGCTCAACAATCATTGACTGGTGGTAGGTCGCAGCTGAGAGAGACAGATATAAAAAAAAAAGTGTCAGCAGGATAACTGCTGCAGGCGTTCAGTCCCATTCAGAGCTCACTTACGACTCATGCAGGTGATTTTGGGCGTTTCCCACTGGCCGCTGGCGCAGCAGCGGACGGTCGGGGTGTGTCGCTGGATGAAGCCCTTTTTGCAGTGATATCGGACCAGCGAGTTGATCTCATAGCGGGGCTTCTTTGCTCCAAACACTTCAGCGTGCTTCACTAAAGGCGGCTGGCTGCAGGCCACTGGAGGGTAAAAACAAAGAGCAGCAAGAGCGACAGACACGTTCTGTCGTCAGCAATGGACGGTGCAGCCACAGGTAAACAGTCCTATATGTAATTTGGAGAGAGATAAAATTAACCAGTATGAACTACTGGGAGTTCAGTCATTCTCCCATTCATGATGGTGAGATACATTGTAAACACAGCTGTGGATACAACAGTATCAAAAGTATCAATATTTTATATCTCGGTATCAGGGGGGAATATCTGGTTTGCAGCGTCTGAGAGCGAAAATAAAGTTTGCTGTCAAAT